TTGCACCCTCTGAGAACCCGAGTTTATCCATACTGACAGGTATCAAGGCACATTCACTCATCATTCATAATCACCAAATTAGATTGGCATGTGTCCCCAGTCCTTCTGTGGCTCTGACCTCCCTTATCTGTATAATATTCTCCTGCCTTGCTCATGAAATTTCTGCATTGCTCTTATCCTGAACTCTTAACACAGACCTCAAACGGTCTTCCATTGATACCAGTGACTTTAGGTGTGTAGTTCTTCATCTCTGAAATTTGTCCCCTAAACCTTTGTATCTGTCTCTCCTTTAATATGTTCCTTAAAATCTTTTTCTTTGACCAAACTTTGAATGCCTGACTTAAGAGCTCATAGGGTTTGGTGTCAATGTTTGTTGACAATGCTCCTGCTTTCCCAAAATACCTTGAAATACTTTATGATACTGAAGGTGAAGTAAAGTTGTTATTTTTGTTCTGTGACTTAAAGATCACTTGCATTCCAATTCTAATACCGTATTGTGTGAACAAAATTGATTACTTCCTTCAATAATCTTGTTTTTGGTGAAGGTTATAACTGATTTATTTATCTGGAATTTATGTTTATAATTTTTAATTTGAAATAATCGATACTCCTGATGTGATTAAACAGATAGATTCTTTTATGCCCAAATCAGTGCCCTGAGATTATTTTTTGAAAAGTAAGGCTTTCTTTTAAGAAATGGTCTTTCCACTTCTTCTCTTTTGAAAGGTCTTAATATTTACTTATTTATTAATTTTGTTTTGGAGGATTGTTTTGGGTTGGACTCCAAGATCTTTGCATTTGTTTTCCACAAATCTTCATACAAATGTCTTTACAGACCTCCGCTAAGATTTGATAGAAGGAACAAAAGACTTTTTTCTTAAAATTTGTTGCGATATGCATTACAGTCACAACACTAAACGCCTAAAAACATTAATACACCATATACTTTTTGAGATAAAAGGCTTAATCTTTGAAAATAGCATATGCTTCAGATCTTTTTTTAAAAAATGACTAGCTATTTTGTGCATTAAAAGCAGAATCAAGTAGCAGTAAGACTGGTAAATTTATACTCTTGATATTTGGGGAAATATTGCCAAGCTAAGACAGCTTTAATCAAAAGGCAAGCAACGCATGAAAAAATTAAGAACAATTAATATGGATTTGTTAAGAGACACTACCAAAAGATCATTGAGACAGGTTCAAATAAAGGTTATATCCCAGCATAGTCATGTAAGGATTGGGCCTTCGCTTTGATCACAAACCCCAAGGCTTTCACAGTATGAAGACATGAATTGGTTGTGACCACACATATGCTTCAGTTTTCTTCATTAAAGTACAATACCTACTGGCATGAACTCTCTCCGCAGCCAATTCATGTGATTCTCTGCAATGTTGATTACCACTGGCCTCCAGGCGAAGCTAGCTAACTGATATTTGAAGAACAAATCAAAATAATCAATCAGTCCACTGTGCATGACGGTCTTTTGAAATGAAAAAGATCACAGAAGATTCGTCCTGGTGTCCATTACCTTAAAATAAACTGGATATTCTGTACATTTGGCAACAAACTAGGATGTCAGTTGTGCTGTGGTTTGCTTATTTGCAATTTTATTCTGTGATCAAAAATTACACTGAATGGGAATGCACCAAGCAGAACAGTTAAACCTTGAGGTTGTTGATTTTAAAAAAAAGCTTCTGTTTTGATTTATGTTTTTGGATTGCTATATTGATTGAATGCAGAAGTATGTATGAGTTGAAGGGAATCCTGCCAATTTGAAAACACTGAAGAACATTAAATATTTCCACTTTTCAATTCATCCTCATTAGATAAAGTACATTTACACCACACAGATTTGGAATCAATTAATAAGTAAGGATATCTTCCTGTTCTTTTTGCTAAGCGTACCTATATAATTCCAATTAATTTATTGTCCAGGTGCCACAACAACACACTCTATGTGGATTAGAAACAAAGTGCTGCAGCAGGTCCAGAGTGAGAAATAGAGTTAATGTTTCAAGTCCAATACAAGTCTTCCTCAGAACTCTCTACCTCAATGCTGAGGGGTAGGGATGCATCTACTTCTTCTTTATAATCATACTTTAGGCATTTAGTGGCATGACTGTAATGCATATCACAAACTTTATGAATATATTCTTCTGTTTCTTCTAATAAATCTTAGTTCAGAATCATTTGTGGGGCAAATTCAGATTTGAATCTCATGGGTTTGATCTTCCCTCTCGGATCAGGAAACTGATAATGGGACAGTTTAGGGGTCCCAAAGCCGCTCATTCTCCCTCCTTCACCTAATGGGACGTAGTTGCAACCACTGATTTCAAATGAAGTGGATGCGTTGAGGAGGCAGCCAATCTGGGATGTTAGTTGGAAATTAAGGTGAGACTATACAAGTGTACATTTAAAAACACTATGGCCGTGATTTGAATGAGAAAATGGATGCACTAATGATCAAACAAAAAAGGCAGCCATCTGACACACAGGCCAGGGATGTTCCTCACTTCTCTAACTCAAAATGGAGATTTCCTGGAGACACAGAGGGAGTCACTCTTTCTAGATGGTGACAAAAGGCCACCCATCCAGACCAATGCTGGCATGGCTGTGGGTTGCTGTGACCAACAGCAGAAGAACTGTGTTCAGGCAAACTGACCATTTTGCCAGAAAAGGTTCAACAGTTTTCTTTGTTTAGGCAAGGTGAGCGTAGTGGAAGACCCTCATGACAGGCCCCTTGATATCAAACTCTAGTTGACGCAGCAGAGTCTTCAGGAAACATGCACATCTGAACATGTGACAGATACAGATCTGGGTTACTTACCAGCCCCTCAAAAAAGTTTGAAGTCATAGCACTGTTGGGAACTTGTCAGAACTGATACTTGTGGCTTTGTATGTAAATGATTGACTGGCAATGGTCAAAGAGGCCAGCATCACCTTATCTCTCTTCTTCTTTTGTCAGGTGCCTATACTGAGGTTATTTTAACCTGTCCTTCTGCTCTGCTCTCCTCAGAGTCCAGGGCTCTGCTTCTTTCACTGAGAATTTTGCACAAAATCTGAGAACAGTTCTTCCATTATGAGCTATTATCTTTAAGCTCAGTTGAACTCTCTATATTATCAATAAGTTTGAATCCCATCTTTTATGCCACTCGATGCCAGAATAGTGATGAACTCCTATAGTACATGAGCTCGTATAGAAGTTTGTCCCAACAATCTCTGCGCACGACATGGCACCTGTCTCTTCAACTGACCCTCTGCACCATTGCTGTTTCAGTGTGTACGTTCTGCTTTCGACTCAGTGTGCAGCACAGACATCCCCACCCAAATCGCAAACTGGCCCTCAACAAACCATCAATGATAACTTTAATTAATCTCCCTCCTGAGTCAGGCATTTTTCCAGGGCCCAACATTCCCATTCTGATAAAACCAGCTAGCCTACAAGAAAATGCTAACAGGAATCTAACATGCTGATCACCAGCACTATCTTTACCATTGTCCACCTCTGATCCTGACACTGGTGGCACCTAAAGATCCTGGTCCATATCTTTTCACTCATCATACAGATTTTCAACTGCCAGTAACTGTGTCCATGCTTCTGTCAAGTTACTTGTCACCTAAACTTCACTTAAATATAATTGAAGTATGAAACATTCTCATCTACTTAATAGTAACTGCCACTACATTTCCTAAGTAATTTTCAGTCACTACAACACCAATAATATTACAAGAAAATCGGGCTGAACAACCTGTTATCTTTTGTTGGTCATTGTATTTTGATTTTACAGTCAAAGGTGTGTGAGACCTATTAGGTAATTCATTATTCCAAACTTAACAAACACAGAAAATGTTGGCAGCATCTGTGGAGAGAGAAACAGTGTTAATATTCTGAGTCCAGTATGACTCTTCTTCAGAACTTCATAGAAGATAGGAAATCAGTGGAAGGTTGTGAAGACAGCAGTGATGTATAAACAAGACTCAGCAGAAGATGAGATGTAGATGGCAGATGTCTACATGAGTTAAAATCTATTCAGTGAAGAAAATACATAAGAGGTTGAGAGTTGGTGGTGATGAAAGCATGAAAGTGGAAGAGCATGATATTATAACAATGTAATTATGCATTCTTGGTCTTGGACTGAATGTGGACCTTGAAAATTTAATCCAGTGGCTAGCAAGACAAGGAGATTACTCACTCCTGTACTTAGCATAGTCAGGAGGAGAGATGACAAGGTATAGAATTGCAAGCAAGGACTGAAAAGTGACTAGGTTGGCTTATGTTTATTTTGGAAAAGTTTGAGGTCATCCAAGATAGTAAATCAGACACAATAGCAACAGTCACAACATTGACACTGTCACCAGAAACATGTAGGTACTCTGACCACAGTGAATGGCAACCAAGATATGAGGAATAAAGCAAACCTTGGGGCTAAGGTAGAAATTCGTAGGTATGGAACGGTAAAAGGTCAGAAGCGCAAAAAATCATAACTAAAACTGGAAATTACTTCTCTGTACATATTTCTCTGACAACTATGACCAAGTATATTCAAAGGTGAAGATGTCCACTCAGACTTAAATCTTTTATATAGAATATAGAATCCCTACACTGTGGAAACAGGCCCTTTGGCCCAACAAGTCCACACTGACCATCAGAGCACCCAGCCAGACCCATCCTCCTATAATCCACCTACACTTCGGGCAATTTAGCATAGCCAATCCACCGAGCCTGCACATCTTTGGACTGTGGGAGGAAACTGGAGCACCCAGAGGAAACCCATGCATACCGGGAGAATGTGCAAACTCCACACTGACAGTTGCCTGAGGGTGGAATCAAACTTGAGTCCCTAGAGCTGTGAGGCAACATTGCTAACCACTGAGCCACCGTGCTGTCCTAAATGAGGTCACAAAGTTTAAAAAGTTCATCATTTCATGGAATACGGCAAAGAGTCTTTTAGAGTCATTGACAAGATTGTTCTGCACAACAATAAACAATTTTAAATACCTTTACGTCAGAGGTGTCACGTTGACAGTTGCGCCATGCTCTAGACACTGCTGAAAATGTTCTATCAGCATGATCAAATTTTCCTCCTTGCAGGTTTAGAAAGAAGGTAGTAAACGGCTCCTGCACAGGAAAAGATTTAGGAATATTGAGGAAAAGACCATTCAGCATTTATAACTAAACAAACATTTGTAGTCCGTTATGGAATAGACAATATCTGACATTCATGGAGTTTTGACAGAATTGGAAGTAAGATTACGGTAACCTGTCACAGTTTACATATCCCCTTCAACACTTTGACCTCAAGACAAACTTCTGAATTTGTTTAACTGAGTAATTTTTAAATGGGTCTGATTGTTCTATGAACAATATTCGTTTTTTTGCAGTTGAAATAACTGATTGTTCTTACAATCAGCTTAGTAAGACTTCTAAAAATATATTTATAAAAAAATTCTTCTTCCTGCTTTGTATATTCTAGATTTAGTGACTTATTTGTTATTCTGAATAACTGATTGGCTGGAACTATATTTATACAAGACATCACAGGCTATATCATAAAACAAAAAAAATGTTGGAACTACTCAGCAGAACAGGTGGCTTCTGGAAAGAAAGTAGCAAATCTGACCTTCTGTCAGAACTGGCATTGTTAGATTTTTAATTGCTCTAAAAAATAGAATGTTATTACTATGATATCGCTTTGATTAGCAGATGCCCTGACAGCTTGCAAAACCTGTGAGTTGTTTTTGGGAATTTATACAGCCTATCAGAAGGGGTTGGGTTGGAAGGAATTTCATGCCCAGACTGGTAGCATTAGTCTGCTCAAACAGTAATCTAGTTTTTGTCAAATAAAACCATACTGTTACATAATGATAGAAGATGCAGGAAGTAGGAATTACAGATGGACAGTGGGAATTCAAACAAGGCGAATACAAAAAAGAATATGCATAACTGCATAGTTTAGAGTGATTCGTATCTGTCTACTTGTAAATTAAATATGAATTGCTGAGTGACATAAGAACAGCCATACAATTGTAAAGAAATCATGAAGTGTGGAAGAATAAAATTATTTAGCTCAGCATTTGCCCCGTCCCATAGATCCTCTTTCCTTCCTTATGTTATTTCTGTCTTCATAATAAGATATTTTCATTGCCTACTCGCCTACAGTTTCATTCTATCCTTCACTCTCATTTGCCCTTTCTTACGCTTCCAACATGTTCTACATCTTCTATTCCCTCTTTTCCCGTTTAATCTTCCTCCATCTCTCAATCTGTCTGTCATTCTCCCTTCCTTTCTTTACCCATCTCCTTTTTTTTGCCTAACCCTTTCTTAATGTTTTATTTTCTTTTTTTCTATCTCATTCTGCATTTTCTTTTATTCCTTCTTTTTCACATTACCAACAGGGACTATCTCTTATCCGGGGGTAGGAACAAGAACACAGGGGAGGAGGAAAAATATCAGCAAGCATTCCTACTCCTGATCCCTGTGCCTGCATGAACATTCAGGGAGGTCAGAAGCAGGCTCAGCTGTAATGCATTACAAAATAATTATCTGAATTTAGTTGACACTTGGTGTTTAGGTTAATACATTAATGGGTACATGGGCGAGGTGTAAAATGATAGCTAGGATCTACATATTGAGGTGGGGGTGGGTTGGAATTGTAACTATGAAAATGTGCTGAAAATTTAATCATTATTCATGTTATAATAATTGACTTTTAAAATGTTTGAGGATTACCAGTGCTCAAAAAAAAGGGAACTAAGGAATAGCATTCAGTTATTAAAAATAATGAACTGTATAATAAATGCAAAAAACATAAAAGTTGCAAACACTGGAAATATGAAACAAAATCAAAAATGAAAATCAGAAGAATACTAACGAAGAAAAACGTATCCAAAATATCAATATGCTGTCTTTCCTCTGAATAGATGCTGTCTGACTTGCACATATTTCCAGTATTTTTAGCTATATATATTAAATCAATGTGTGTGTTGAGTTAAGAATGTAACAGAGGGGTTAAGCTCTTACAGCATTACTCAACAATATCAGGCAAGCTGACTTGCAATCGTCAATGTTTAAGTGCAACATGGTGAATAAAAATATGGCCTAATGCAAATATACTGAGTGCAACAGAAGAATGCTGTTTTTTACATTTTTTTTTCTACATGAAGCTTTACATCATAAATAGCTTTATTAACTGTAAATCATTTTACGGGTATATTTTATGTGCAGTGTTGTCAAATTATCACCTAATTATGCAAAATATATACTAAAATGAAGCTATGAAATTGAATTTTAAATTACTTTAAAATATATTCTGATTTGGAAAAAAAAATTAAGTACCAGTAATTATCGGAAATTAGGCTAAATATTCCAGTTTATGTGCAGGATTTATGTCTGCCTTGTGCTGTATTATTCAGCCTTAATCAAGGGACAATTGCGAGTGCTTTTTCAATGGAAGAGACACATTAACGCACTGACTGGATGAAACAGCTTTAAATTTTACAGTTATTGTACTTACAATTCTTAACAACCATGCAAGAGTGAAGCTACTGGTTGAATAATGAGTCCCATAGTGGAAAGGAGGAACCTGATCATCTTCCCAGCTTTCATGACGCTCCGAAAAGAAAGCTGCTCTCTTTGGGTTAAGTGCTCCAATTGGCTAAAGGGAAAAAATTTTAAACAAGTTTGAAATGGAAAGAAGAAATTCAAAGATTACATCGAAATGTTAATTTGTCCATTACTGCACTGAGTTCTATTATCCCTCTGTCGACAAATGCCTGAACTAAAGATTACCTTTGGTCAAATGATTCAAGTTTTAAGCATCACGCTCCTGGGAATTTTGTGAACAAAATACACAATTTGATGATTTTTTTATATATAAAAATTCCTACAGCCTGTAAAAAATACATTACAATATTCTTTCATTGTCATGTGTACTTCATTGTAGGAGTACAGTGAAAAACTTTTACAATGCCTGCATTCTTATGGTGACATGTTAGGTACAAGTACCTAGGTACAATTCTTGGGTACAGTAGAAGAATAAAAGTAGTTGTATTACTTAGAGTTGAAAAATAAGTTAAAAATGAGAATATTAAAGGGTTAACATTACAGTAAGGTAGGAAATTTTAAATAGGCATTAGTGTAGCAGCTCAATGCAGGGCCTCCACACGTAGTCTGACTGCCCACACCAGATCTCAGTCCAACAGCCTTCCCCGTTCTGCTCTGTGTAACG